GGTGTCTCCGTGTGTTTAACCCCCAATGTTCTGGCCCACGACATCGAGTGGAATGTGTGGCCAATGATATTGAGGAGTCCTGTAGCTCAGTGGTTAGAGCACTCGCCTCAGCATTGAGAAGCCCTGGGTTTGATTCCCGGGCAAAATGTTGGGCAGGTTTCCTTACTCAGCGCACCTCTGTTTATGTAGCAGTCAGTAGGATCCCGGCTGTGTGTCGATTGGTGGATTACTTTCCTGTGGTAATAATCCGTCAAATAAAAAAAATGGTCTGTCAATCCACAACTGTTTGTGGGGACGTCGCAATTGCTGCTGCGTTTCGTCCACAGTCACTACACTTTACAATGTATCCTGTGAAGCGCATTGAGACGTCTCGAAGACCTGATAAGGCGCTGTGTCAAATGCCAGGATTATTATTATTATTGTTACTATTATTATTAAAATTATCATTATTATTATTATTGTTGCTATTATTGTTATATTACTGAGCAGAGACGCGGTGTCCAGTCCGAACGAGAACGAGAACGAGAAGATCGACGCGGAGAACGAGCGCCGCGAGGGTGTGGGGTCCCCGAAGGACAGCTTCCAGCGTCTCAACTCAACACCCACAAGGGAAGAGGTAAAGCAGCCACACCCAACAGTAACTTACACTTACACAGCGCCCCCCCACACACCCCCACCCCTCCCACGCAAGATAGCGTCCTAGAGCGCTTGACGGTGGCGGAGTACAAAGGTGGGGGGTGTGGGGGGGAGGGGAGGAAAGGGGCGGAGGGGGGGAGGGAGGTGACCGTAGGCACTGATCGAAGAGGAAGATGGGGTGGTGAGGCGGTGGGGTTGGAGAGGGAGAGCTTGCCGGAGTTTCGGGGAGTGGTGGCTGAAAGCGTGACCGTCGATGGTGGGGGGGGGGGGGGGGGGGGGGGGTGGGGGTGGCAAGGGTACAGAAGCCGGAGCCAGTCGAGCACAGGCCCATCAGTGTGTGAGACCCTCAGCTCCACACTCTCTCTGTAGCTACATCTCTGTATCTATGTCTGCCCCCCCAGTCAATCTCCCTGTACCCCACGCCCCCTGCCTGGCCCCTTCCGGGAGTGGGGGTACAGGGAGATTGACTGGGGAGGGGGGAGGCAGTGAGTTGACACCATTCATTCGTGTCTCAGGCGTTTGATCCCAATAAGTCAGAGAAGCAGATGCAAGGCGAGAGAGCCACCCTCAAACCTGATCGCTGTGTGTGCGTGAACCTGGACAAGAGCGTGGTGATTGGCGTGGAGGAGGTAACCTGTAACACTGTCACTCTCTCAACCCCCCCCGCCCCACACCCTACCACCACCCACCCACCCACCCGCCCTCTGCTCTCCGCTCTCTCTCTCTCTCTTTCTCTAATAATCATAATAATCCTTGCATTTCACATAGCGCTTTATCACGTCTTTGAGACGTCTCAAAGCGCTTCACAGGATACACTGTAAAGTGTAGTGACTGTACATTTTATGGGTGAAACGTGGCAGCCAATTGCGCACAGCAGTCTCACAAACAGTCGTGGATTGAAGTGACCAATTTATTATTATTATTATTTTTTGAAGGGATTATTATTACCCAATCGACTAACAACCGGGTTCCTACTAACTGCCGGTAAACAGAGGCGTGTGTGTGGAGTGAGGAAACTTGCCCAACATTTCTCTCTGCCCGGGTATCGAACCCAAGTCTCTCGCTTGTGAGGCGAGTGCTCTAACCATTGAGCTACAGGACTCCAACAGCTCTTTGAGATTGAAGGGGGTAAATTCAGAACAAATCTGCAGAAACAGTACATCACTGAGCGAGGAGTAAACATATGGAACAGACTCCCGAGGGAGACAGACCGTGGAGGGAGGGAGACCGTGGAGGGAGGGAGACCGTGCAGGGAGGGAGGGAGACCGTGGAGGGAGGAGGAGACCGTGGAGGGAGGGAGGGAAGACCGTGGAGAAGGAGGGAGGGAGACCGTGGAGGGAGGGAGGGAGACCGTGGAGGGAGGGAGGGAGACCGTGGAGGGAGGGAGGGAGACCGTGGAGGGAGGGAGGGAGACCGTGGAGGGAGGGAGGGAGACCGTGGAGGGAGGGAGGGAGACCGTGGGAGGGAGGAGGGGAGACGTAGAGGGAGGGAGGGAGACGTGGAGGGAGGAGGGAGCCGGAGGGAGGGAGGGAGACCGTGGAGGGAGGAGGGAGACGTGGAGGGAGGGAGGGAGACCGTGGGGGAGGAGGGAG